GTCCGCAACAAGCACAACGACACCGCAACCCGGTTGTACATCGACAACAGCCGCCTGCAAGTGGCGTTACGTGCCGGGTGGTCGTCGAGCCATAGCGATCGCTTCGGTATCACGAATGGTTTTCGGTGCGTGTACCTGGCTCCTTGCGTCGACCACGTGTGCGTCCCCACAACGCGGTAATATTCAGCATCCGTTCGTACAGCATGTCCAGGTGGCTTCTGCCACGAACACACTACCGTACCCTGTGTCACAACTGCTACCACTCAAAGCTTACCATTGTAGCGCACGGCTTGCGTTTATCGATCATATGTCATCATGCATACCGCAAGTTCACGTTCTATCCATGTCATCCCGCACACCTAGGTACCCCCCCCCGGGAGGGCCGAAAAAAGGTTTTCGATTTTTTGCTTCTCATGGGGCTAGAGCCCACTGCACGCAAGTAGCTTATGTGCGACATGTCGTGAACAACAAGTGACGACGTTACACGCATAATTTGAGTGGAGTAGGTACTCTCTTGGTGTGCTACGTTCCCATTTGTGTGATCATGACTTCGGGGTTCGCGAGAAAGGATCCTAGCTCGTGCATAGGGTACCCCACGGAAAAAATGGTTCCCCACCGCGGGCCCCCTACGCTTTATATAGGAATTAGAGTACCGGTACCCCCCCCCCCCTCCAAACACCTCCCAAATAAAAAAATGGGTACGTAGGTGTCGGAGAAAATTGTTTTCGGGCACCCTTGTTCTATCCCGTGTTTTTTCTCGAAACTGAGCATCTTACCGCATGCATCTCATAGGTTCCCACGCCTCCATCTGCGTGTTGTTCTACAGTAACGACTAACACCACGACGTCTCGCGTGCGGCTACCCGTTTCTGCCAGTAGATGTGGACAGCGTCGCGTAAGCAGGGCAAGGAAATTCGGATGTGCAGATCGGAAAGGTATATAATGCGAAAACCACAACAACAACAACGACGACTACGACGACGACGACGATGACGACGATGACGACATCTTCATCGACGTCATAACCTAGCGTACCCCGACGACAGGAAAAAACAAAATGAATGAGTGGATCGAAGAGGGGAGACAACAACCTCGAACGAACCCTCTCTGTTGGGCGCGGGTGTTAGTCCCGTGTGAGACTTTTTGACTTTGCGCCAGTCCCAGGTTCGGCTGGTGTTGTCCTATACACACCACTCACGGTTTTCTTGTGAGTGAAGACAGGGCCAACAATCGACCGGCTTGACATTGACAGTATTGAAGTCAGTTGAACGGGACGGGCGGTCGGGTGATGTCGTAGTAAAAATGAGGCAAACGAGCGTACAAGGCGGGAAAAAAAGGCCATGTAATTGGTTTCTTCCCTTTATTGGGTCTCAATCAGGAAAGTGAAGGTGGATAGAGAGAGAGGCGATCGGGGCTCGCGTGAAGCTATTCTGCACCACACTGGGTTTTGGCGTGGCTAACGGTGCAGCAGTGCTTATTTGGTGTTTGGCCTGTTTGGGGGCATTCAAGTCTACTCTTTCGCGTGTACTCGATTGGTTTTGCGGGAATGTTGAAACCGCTGTATAGTAGTGTGCAGACAGCTGCACAGGATTGCCCACTGAAGAGTCATTATTACTTGGTGGCGCACCATATTCTGTTGTTTTGCGCGATATCGACGGTTGTTAGCACCATTGAGTACCATGTCGCCATTTGTCTCAGCAACTGTTGTTGGAACTACGCGAATCATTGACGGAGGAACTTGTTTCGAAACATGCATAATTTTGGGGATGGAAGCCATTCTTCTTGTGAGGGTTGAGTGACACTTGCTGAATACATGTGCATACTCAGCTGTTTCCATCCGTTGAAAAACAAAACACCATACAAAGAGGCAAGTCGAAATATCGGTGTTCACACCGGTTCCGTTGGCGGCGGGATAACCTCGACGTGATCGTTCCAAGAGATGATACTAGCGAAGGGAGGGAGTGTTCGGTCGTGCTGTTTCGGGGCCAAATCATTTATTTGCGATGGAGGAGAGAGCGGTCTGCTTGGTCGAGCAAGAGGTAGGAGGTAATACATCTGTTGTCAGTAAATCTTAGTCGGAAGGGAGAGAAAGAGAGAGAGAAGGCGTGAGGGTTAAATATTATGTGGGAGACGGCGGAGATGGTAGGAAATAGAAGAATGACTGGTGGATGCTCGAGAGAGAGAAAGAGAGAGAGAGAGAGAGAGAGAGAGAGAGAGAGAGAGAGAGAGAGAGAGAGATAATTGACAATGCTTGGGGGTGGGGCGGGGGGGGACGCAGAAGGCGGCGGGGATGGTAAGAAATGAAAAATGAAAAGACACAGGATACAACCGTGGGTGCTCTCTCTCTAACTCACTCTGAGAGAGGAACTGAGTAAAACGGTTTGGGGGAGTCAGTGACAGAAACGTAGAAAATGGAATGAATCTTGAAAAGAGACCAGATACACCGATGGGTGGGTGCTCGACAGAGCGAGAAATTGACAAGGTTTGGGGGTGGGAACAAAAATTGCGGTAGGCGACGAGGTTGGATGGAAAAGAAAATGAAGGCGATGGGGTTGGTAGGAAATGAAGAGCGAAAAGAGACTTGGGTGCTCTCTCTCTTTCTCACGCACACTCACTCTTCTAGAGAGGGAGTGCGTGAAAAGGGTATGGGGGAGTAGCTAAGAACGTGGGAGGCGGTAGGGGTGGTTGGAGATGGAATGAATGGTGAAAACAAACCAGAGACACGGGTGGGTGCTCGGCAGAGAACGAAATTGATGACGTTTGGGGAAGGGAAAAAAAAAGAACATGTGAGCTACGGCGTGGATGGCAAGGAATGGCAGATGGAAAAGTTAACGGGTGGACATGTCCTTTTAACTTCCAAACACGGACGGAGCCCCTGCACTGACAGGTCTTGGGTCTTGCGTCGTGTGCGTCGTGCAGGTGTGTACACATTCACACATGCATCATGACCCGAACCCGATCTGCGCAGGCGGGCCGACGATAAAATCGCGCGAAGACGTAAAAAATTACGAAGGTCCTGTGTGATGTGAGCACAAGTGTGGGGATCCCCAATTAGCCAACAACCAAGCAGTTGAAAAAAATGTTGGGAAAATACTCTTTTAGAAAGCCGAGGTGATCTGGTCGCGGCACCAACAGTACTAGTACAAGCAGCTCTTCCCCGCTTCGGTCACTTCGCGGGAGGATCGACGCCCCGTACTCCCCGTTTTTCTCAGGACCCCTCCGTTCTCGGACTACAACGCATATCTACCTCATTTTCGTCTCTTGCTCTTCCTTTCTTTGCCTCGCTGCGGCAAACCTCATAGCGGCGCAACATTACTACAGGTAGATCTTTGCCTACGCCACCGTCAAATCTCTACGTCGTCCGTGTGGAACGACTACGTACGTGCTTCCTGCCAGCCTCCTTTCTTCCTACAAAGAAGCGGCCGAACGTGAACACGGAAAGGAGCATCAACGAGAGCCGGAAGGATCAAGGCCCGCAGTGGGCGAAAAGAAGCAAAAAGCAAGTTGCTTCGTTTTTTTTGTTAATGTTGTTCCTACACATCAACAACAGTCCGGCGTGGGGATACATGATTCAATCCGTTCAAAAAAATGTTTTTTGTCCCAACACGCAACCCAACACAGTAGCATGCCACCAACACGTTCCCGGAAAAAAACATCGTTGCCTGACGCTCAGAAAAAACACCACAATGGTACACGACCAAAACACCCGTCCCTCTATGCACACCCATACGCCAGGCCCATCTCAACACCATCCGACTTGACTGACAAACCTCACGAGGAAATACTTCCTCGGTCACCGTAGCTCCACCCACACCCGTTTACCCGCGATGGTACAACCAAAGCACGAGAAATTACTTCCTCGGCCACCGCGGCTTCATCCACACCCATTTACCCGTGATGATACAATCAAAGACAGCAAGAACTTGACAACACATGAGCACACTTCGGGAGAAGGGGGTCAAGAGAAAGGCCCGAGTACACCCCCCCCCCCCCCCCCCGGGCGCTTTTTAGGTCCCTCGTGGCCCCCGGGAAACTAAAAACCACCGGACCAACCTTTTCCGAACCAAAGCAGGATTGATTCTCTAACATTCGGACAAAGCAAGCAGTGGGCACGACACGGCAGCAGCCCCGCACTCTCTCGCGGCTGAGGCAAACGTCCCCCACCAAAACCAAAACAAGCCAAACACACACACATACACACAAGTCTCCCTCATGCCGTCCCCTCACGGGGTCCCAGTTAATGGCCTTTAGAAGTGTTTCGTGTTTTCAACCGCACGGAGACTGACGATTTTTCATTGGTCAGCCGGTTAGCGCGGTCGATGCTAATAATAATACTCACACACATACACGGGACAAAAATAACCTCGCCAGACCAATAGGACGCCGTGAGCCGCCGCCGCACGCTCGCTCATTGGTCAATAGAAACAACAGGAGTACGTACCGGCGAGCAACGCGGCACGATGACCACCTCTAATTGTTGTAGTAGCGCCCTTCCCAGCGCGCCCAGCCGCATGGTGCGCAACAACAGGGGGTCTGTTATTGTTTCGTTCGGTGCAATACGATACCGCTGTGCGCCCTGGCCTGGTTTTTGGTTGTCCGTTCGCCCTCTCTCACGCCATCAACGTCGACAACAAACAGCACTCGTTGCGAAAACCACGCTTTTGCCGCCGGAGCTTGTTCTACATAGCTCTCTCATCCTCATTCATTCTCTTCCGGAGGCCGACAACGTGCACGTCCACCCTCCCTTACCGCCCCTGCCCAGCTTCCATTCATGTAGCTTGCAGAAACTGTTGTATTCTGCCATCGATGGCAGAATCTAAAGGACCGCAGCAAAATACACCAGCGGTGGGCCACACCGGCGCTGCTACTAGTACATGCACGAAGCTTGGCGAACAAAGCGTACGTTTCAAGTCCCAGCGCCATAACGAGTGCTGTTGCAACTGCTGCCGCTACTGCTGCTGCTGCTGCTGCTGCTGTGTGTCGGCCTTCTTGTGCGTTCAACTACGCCGCGAACTTGGAGTGAATGTATCCGGCACCGTACTCCTCGTACTCGGCGCGAGTAAACCACAGCCCTGGTTTGGGATTCGGATTCGGATTTCAACGGCGAAGAAAAAAAAACGAAAAAAAAAAGACAAAAACATAAGAAGACATGGTTGGTTGCGATGAACGACGAGAACCAAGGAAGATGATGTGAAACGATCGTACTGAAGCGGTGAACGGATGAACGCAAGAACACATGCGTGCCCACCCCTACCCTCACCGTCTAGAGCGCCGGCAGATGCAAGCATGGACCCGCCGATCCACACGGTGTTGTTGTGGTCATCTTCGGGGGCCATGACGGTGTACTTCAGGCGAACCCCGTTGGCACTGCCGGATAAAAAACAAACAAACGATGCGTTGTTGTTGTCACGTTAAAGTCGTTCCACTTCCGACCCAGCAGAACTTCCACGACACCCCCAGATGGCAGAGGTGGATAAACGAGCGTTTCGCGTTCGAACCAAATCCGAAACGGAAGAAAGAAGGTATAAACGAACGAATCAACACAATGACGCGTGAAAACAATACACGTACAACGCAGTTCGACTTGGAAACTACAGGACGGACCGACGGGGGCGGACACTCGTATTGCTGCTCGCCCTAGTCATTCGACCGCGGCCACAGACCACTCTCCGTACGGAGCCCCATTTCCTCTCCTGTTCACAGATCCAATGCCTTCAAAGAGACATTACTAACACTTGGAGAGCTTCCCACGTCTTTCTTTCCCCATTTACGCTAGGGTTACATACAACGGTTCAGGAAACTGATATAGGTTACATACAACGGTTCAGGAAACTGATATTTGGGGGTCCGAACACCCGAACACAGGCCTAAATAAATCTATAGAGCGCGTGGGTTCTCCTACAAACCCTCGCCAGATTTTGAAGGGGCGGTGTTGGTTTTCTAAGGGTCAGGGTCGGCGTCAGGGCAGACAGATCCTGGTATGAAACGCTCTTGCTGTTGCGGCGTACCGGGAGGCCTTGGTGAGTTCCCTCTGGAGGCGTCGGTTGAGGCCGTGCATCTCGGTTGTGCCCCCGGTGAGGATGACGGTCTGAGCCAGGACCGGCCAGGTCTTGCGGTCGCAGGACAGGATGGCTGGGCAATGAGAGAGAGCGCGAGGGACGGAACCGTACATTCACCAGCAGCAGCAGCAGCAGCAGCAGTAATACAAATAACAACAACAACAACAACAACAACAACAACAAACAACAAACAACACCATCGAAACGGCTGCAGCAGCCGCAACTCAGGGCGGGCAGCAAGCCACACAACCTACCTCAACGCCCCCAAAACAAAAAGCCAACCAACACTTCTCACAATCGAGAACGGTGTTCTGCAAAGAATCTTCCTCCCTCAAGCTCATCGCGGGGTCGAACAGCAGCTCCGCGGCCCTGTAGCGCTCCCGCCCGAGTGTGACCCGAGTGCCATCTGGGAGGGTGTAAGGCTTCGACATGCTCAGCTCTGACGCGTTGTCGACGCCGTTTACATCGCGGTAAAGTCGCACGTACAGTTCCACGTACCCAGTAGTTATAATAGTTATTGACGGCAGCAGGAAGAACCAGCGGAGAACACGAAGAAGCACGTCAGGACATTGTGAATGTTGCAACAGCAGAAAAATCGACAGCACGTGCCGGTGCACCAAGATAATGAGCGTGTGCCGTCTGTTGGGACAAGCAAATCTGTTTGGAAGAACCGATGCTGGGAAAGGGGGGCGACGCGGAATCAATTGGGCAAACCTCGGGAAGAACGAGTTCAAGTCACACGACCGGGTGTGTGTATGTGTGAACTTGATGCGATTCTGTTCAGGATCTCGAGCTGCCAGGCTACACAAGGAATTGTGGCGATCCTGCAATGCTGCGTGGCGTGCATCTCTCAACTGAGTGTCTCCTCCATTCTCTGTCTTCCCTGTTTGCCTCTTTTTGTGTGTGATTTGTCGCTTACCATAGACCTGAATGTTTTGCCTGTCTCTATCTCCGTCTCTGTCTCTCTAGCTGCCAAACATGGCATGTCTCCCTCTCTCTTGTCTGTCTGTTGTTTCTCTATGTGTCAAGCCTATCCGACTCGGTTCTGTATGTCTCTTGTCTCTGAGTGCCCCTGGTCCTGCATCTCTTGGTTGGTCAATGGCGTGATGTCGTGTCTTCTCACCCATCTTAGCGTTGTCCTTGTCAACGTCCTCCGACACGAAGCAGACCTTCGCCTTGAGAGCCTCGAGCTCCATCACGTCGCAAGGGTCGTCGGGCTCGAACTCGTCGCCCCCCATCAATCCCACCTGTTGCACACAAAAGAGAAATATTGTTATCGTGTTTCTCTATTCTATGCTGTTGTCATCGTCATCATGATGGTCGTTGTTCTAAATATGTGTGTTGTCCTCGCCATCGTTATTGCTGTTGCTTCTGCTGTTGTATTTAGTGTTGTGTAACGTAGGTGACACAAGATAACACACCCCGCTGGCCGATCTTCAAGGCTCGATTACTCGACGACGAAGAGGACGCAGAAAACGGACCGATACGTTTCCGGAAAGCTCTCCACGAGACGGATTCAACGCCGCCATTCTCGGCGCTGCCACCCGTTCTGTTGTGGAGATATCGAGCTTTCAAGACCGGTTGACGGTGTGTGGTATCTTGCGTCACCTACGGTATTCGCATCGAAGAAAAGCTCACCTCTACCTCCCCTCACCAGCACCCCCCGGTATTCCGAGGATGTCCCAAGTGCTGGTACCAGACACACTCGACTAAACCGGCACACGACTCGACTCGGTCACCGTTGACACTAGAATCTCCAACTCAGGGACAAAAGACGACGACGACAACGCCTCCCCTTTACACCCAAGAAGCAAACAACAGCCCTGACAACTCCCGCGAGGTCGGTCGGTTGTGACGTACGTCTCAGCATCGTAACACGTGCGGGGGTGTTTAGAAGCCGAGCTGAAACCATTAGGCTCGTCAGCCGCTGACTAGCGCAATACTTCGATTTCGCTTTCGAAAGGCTTGTCACCTCTCAACGATTAGACTCGTCAGCCGCTTACTAGCGTAATACCTTGATTTCGCTTTCGAAAGTTTTGTCAGCGCTGACTAGTCTAGCGATTTGGTTTCGAAGATGTACCACAGAAACACCGGCAGCAGCAGCAGCAGCGACGTTTCTCGCGTCGTACCGCACTGTACCTTTGCGTTGACCAAGGCCGCGAGGTGCCTGGTGATGTCCTTGCCTCCGAGACCAACCCATCGGATGCCCGTTTCCAGCACAAAGCCATCGAAGATGGGAGCCACCTGCCATGATGTGGATTTCATTTTTCGCGGTATTTTTACGGCACGGAAATGTTATGTTGTCAAAGGCTGTCGTTCGTATTGCTGCCGTTGGTGGTAACGGTGGTTGTTGCTGATATCGTCCTCATAGGCCTTTTTTTTCTTTCAAGGCATTGGTCCTGGCTACCTCCAACGGAGATGCAACAAAAAAAAGAGAGTGTGGGGGGGGGGTTACAATGCAGGACGAACAAGCAGACCGCCGCAAACGTTTTGCCGAGGGCGCAAGCAAAATGTGACCAACTCGCCCTTGTTTACCCAACCAACTCCTATTCCCCGTGCCAACGACAAGGTCTACAAGGTGAAGCGCGATGCGCCGCCGCGTCCACCGGAAGGCCGACGGACACGTCATATGTATTGCCACCACTATTTTTCACGTCACACCCTGTGTTACGATTCGTCACCCACGGCGTATGAGTAGCCCTAAAAATCTAAAAAATATTGTTGAGCCCGTTACCCGCAGGGGAGACATCGTTGTGTGCTGCTCGGGAAACCTTAGACATAAAGGTATTTTCCGCTGACACTATGAATTAATTGCTATTTTATCGCAGACTCTTTTCCATGGATAGAGATGAAATCGTTGCGTCATACCAAGAAAAAAACAAAAAATCTCGCCGGTGTGACGTGAACCAATTTCTGCACCCAACCTCTCATCACGCCCACGACCAGGCCACGCTGAAGAACGGGGCCGCGATGGGCTGCAACCTCTCATCATGCAAATCAGATAAAGGCGCGGGAATCAATCCTCAACCATTTAGACCACCAACGCGATCGAGGCCCTCACCATGTACCCCCTAAAAATTACCCTCCCTCTCTCTCCACTCGCCGAGCAAACAAACTCGCCTGTGTGCCCGATTCTCCGATATCTACGACCAGGCCGGACGTTGGTCCGCACGCATAGAGCGCCAGCACGGGCTGGAGAGCCATGTGCACGGCGGGCGTCGACAGGGTTTCCATGAGCACCTCCGTGGCCTTTTCTCTGGGGGGGGTTGGGGGGGGGTTGGTTCGTGTCGTACACGGAATATTACGCACGAAACACAAACGAGTCGAGGTTAACAGACAAGACACACAGAAAGACAAGTACACGGGGGCAACGGCAGCTGCTGCCGCTACCATTTACGATCGTGGAGATAGATGCTGCTACCATACTGTGGTGGAGATTTATTCAAGTCCCCCCGACCGACAGAAACTATAGCGAACAAGGACAGCAACGTGCCAAAACCTCGAGGAAACTGCAATTGCCATGACACGACATGAAACGCACGGTGTTTTTTCAAGCCGGCAACGCTTCAGGCCACTGGTGTGATGTCTGCGGCAGCGGCAGTAGCTGCAGCAGCAAGAACAAGAACAAGAAATAACAACAACAACAACAGAGGAAACTGTGGAGAAAACCTTGACAAAGGTAAAACATCCCCATCGTCTGTTGAGGACGATTCCCTCTTTTCACAAAAATGTCAAAACTGAAAAAAAGAGTCCTCCTCCTACACCTACCGCCTCCCCGATTTATTCGGTATCCACCGCCGTGTTCAAAAAGCACCCCGATGAAGACCTACCGCCTCCCCGGCATAACAACACCAACATCTGCAACACACCCCGCCGTCCCCCTCCACTCATCACTGCAAAGACTCCAAACTCATCCCCTTCGACTGCTGTGGTTACATCTCGAACAGGTACACACAGTACATAAGTCTCTCTGTGTGTTCGTGTTCATTTGTCCTATTTCATACCTCGCCGAAGGCTCCGTCGCCGTGGAGTCGGCCATCAGCACGGGGTGTTCCATCGCGCCCAGCTGCATCTCGTCCTCGATGCCGAACCTCCACAGCTCCTCCATGTCGTCCCAGTCCGTCACCACGCCCTCCGACAGGGGGTGCTGCAGCAAGATCGGCCTGGGCATGGGGCCTCTCCTGTCGGGCAGCTGTTCAATTCAGTATTTGGCGTGCGCGCGCGCGCGCGGGGGGGGGGGGGGGGGGGGGGGGGGCCCCCTTTTTTTTTGGGGGGCCTAAACAAAAAAACCATTACCCCCCCCCCCCCAAAAAAAAGAACAACCCCCGGGGGGGGGGGGGGGAAAAAGGGGGGGTTTTTGTGTTATTTTGGTTCC